TTTTTTTTATATTCCACAAAACAATTTATCTTCACTCTATCTCAATATTCTTGGAATATATCTTATTAATGAAAATTTCAGGACCTCCCATTATGTGGCTCTGACGTAGCTTCCAGTTCAGTATTTAGCACATTGGGAATGTTGGTATTATTGATGGAGAATCTAAAAAGATCCGGCGTGATGTGATATTCACCAGATTTCATTGGTTCATACGTTACTAAGGGGATAGACACAGCTGATTATACTAATCATACATACAAATGAACAAAACTTAATAATTTCTGTCGTTATATATGTTATCAGTCATTCCTGCTGGTAGTTACGAATGGGAGCAGAAGATGTTATATATTTATTTAAGGATTGATAGCATAATGTGGCAGTTCTACTCAGTTACGTATGAAAAACGTAAAGCTATCCCTGTAACATGCCGTGAAGGCCCATAGGGTTGTAAGAAGTCGAGGCTCCCACATTTTGTAAAAAATCGGCTCACATATGACGATGAGGTTGTCATCCTTACACGCCAGTCGCCCTTTACTTCCAGAAAAATTCCTGGTACTCATTTCTGTTAGAGGCTGAATCGATTCCAGGGTCATAGTGCGGCTGGAAGGATTAGGTCAGTTGAATAATCCATCGGGATTCGAACCTGCGACTTTCTGGCTTAAAGCATAGTGCCTCAACCGACTACGCTACCGCGAGCCCCCAACTCTGGGAAATATCAGCACAGGACTGTTATACTTAGTCACCAGTACTGCCGCTAGATGTAGTTGTTTATTAGCCTTTTCATGCAGATGTGCCATTACAGTGGATTACAGAATCCTATATTTAATTTCTGTATTTGTGACGAAGTTTTCTTATAGGCAAGTCGTTACACACATGCACGCGCACACACACACACAAACACAGATTATTTATAAATTTTATGCCCACTAGTTCCTCGTTTAGATGTCAATGGAACTTCGATAGCTCAGTCGGTATATCGGCGTGCTGGACGGCTGGGGCAAGAGACTTCTCACCACAGCGTCCACACCGTCTCTGGGGTCCACCAATCCTTCTATCAAATGGGTATCAGGGGCGTTTCCCGAGGGTAAAGCGACGGCTGCGTGAAGCTACTTACATAGATCTAGTGCCTAGTGCCGAGGTTCTGGATGATGGCGCTATACTCCAGTCGCTGCTACGTCTTCACGTGTGACGCTTAATTAATTAAGTACAGGGACAACCTCAGCTTTACTCCAGTCACTTACGTTTTGTTTGTACAATGTTCAACTTTCCGCCTTACCCAAATGCCGCTGTATGCAGTTTCTTTACTGTGACTGTTCCAGGCCCACGGTTGTCACATCTGCTACGAAGTATCACGGAGCACAGAGAGGTCCCCTCCTCATCTGCTGGCGAGGCCCCGGCTGCCCGCCTACATGGGGGGCGAGTGGGTAAGCACGCGTTGCGAAACGTGGCCTCTGGGTCTCTTCCTCACACGCCGGTTCCGCTTCCACGTCGGGGACCGGACATGGAACGGCGAGTACCGCTTCTACGCGGACCCCGCATGTGCCGTGCCTACGTACACCGCCGCAGCGTCTGGACGCTACTCCCGTACCTTCACCACTTCCGGCAAAGTAGAAGGACCCGTCGAGTTCGACTTCAGGGTGGAACACGCATCCCTTACGGTTCTTGATAGAGGGATGGTCGAGAATCTTCAAGGTGATCGCCGATGTATTCCCGGTGGAGTTTGGAAGGTTGGAGTTCCCAGGGACTTAACTCCGTCACGGGGATGTTCCCCATTAGGGATAATTGTCCCCAGCACAGAATATGAATTGGTTCGTGTCGAAATGGACGCACAAGGGAACTCGT